TAATAATAATAATAATAATAATAATAATAATAATAATAATAATAATAATAATAATAATAATTATTATTATTATTATTATTATTATTATTATTATTATTATTATTATTATTATTATTATTAGACTGTTTTTTGATTAAAAATTTTCAGCATCAGATGAAGGGTAAAAATTGAGGCTACTGAACATACTCACTTGATCAATGTAATAGGCAGTGCCTGATCGGATCTCTCTACGTTGTTTGAGATCAGTTTCTGTTGTATCTCTGCACAGTGCAATGTACTCAACCTCCCGCTTGGTCAACTCCTGCAGAGTGTGGCACATTATTAGGGGACATTTGGGCTTTGAAAATTATCAAACAAAAAATTATCCATCAGCACATCACTAAATGGTCCTCAAGGTAAGGAGAAACATTTTATATTGAAGCCTAGTTTAGTGTTCTCCTTCAATCAGCATTGCTTCATTTTCTATTTACACTACACGTACTTTATTCCTAAAACAACCAGCTCTATATTACTCAGACAGAACAATGTAACAATTTGTTTTCCATAAGGAAACAGTAAACCACTTCTGAATGCTATATACCTAGAAAATCCAGGAAGGACAGCAGGTGCCTTTTAAGAGACGTCTCAGTGGGATCATCTGCCAAGGGCAGAAACCGCTTTGCAGCAAAGGCAGCTAATTCAGGGCAAACAGTATCTGGCCCCCACCCACCCAGAAGAGACGTCAGCAATGGGAATGCCAAGTTGGCTTGTAGTCATGGGACAAAAAGGACAGGTCTGGGGGACCCCTGAGTGAAGGGAGGGGCCCCAGACCCAGTAAAGGGAGGACTTGGAACTGGACCAACAGGGGTGGGGTTGGAACTGGCTGGACCACCTTGGTACCCATACCAGAAGACTAAAGGGCACCATGTGTAAACAATGAAGGCCTAATTAGGAGCCTAACCAAAGGTTTGTATGACATTGCCCTGACCCTGTGGGGTGGGGGACTGGAGGTGCCACATACGGAGCTATGGCAGAATGCAATAAATCTGAGTTTACCTTTGTTGCTCAGAGGTCGCAAGAGGTTAGCAGAAGGTGCACTCTTGATGTCCACCTCCATCGTGGCAAAAAAAACCCCTATGGCACCTTATGTTCACCCTTTTGTTTTTCTTCAGGTTTCTGTTTATTGTTGGACACAGATAACTATGCTGATACTTTTGTGATCAGTCTCTTGACTCTTGAGTATTTGTAATCCTGCACTTTTCTCCTTGTCCCTGCAGGATGAAGACATCACCCAGCCAGAGAGCATTTTGGCAGTAAGGTTGTTTCCTCCCTCTCCTTTTCAGCCACAGCGGGCCAAGAGGGAGCCAGGCGAATCACTGATGGGAGGCTATTCCAGAGCTGAGGGGCCACTACCGAGAAGGCCTTTTTTTTCTGTTCTTTCTTTCCGGGACTCTCTTGGTGTTAGGCCCCTCAACCATCCCTCCTGGCTATGGTGAGTGATTCAGGTAGATCTAGGTGGGAGAAGGCAATCTGCCAGGTATTGAGGTCCTAAACCGTTTAGGGCTTTATACACCATTATTAACACTTTGAAGTCGATGCAGAAGCGAATGGGCAGCCAGTGTAAGGCAGACAGAGTGGGGAGAGATATGCTGGTGCTTTCTCACCCCACTAAGGAGTCTGGCCGCCGCATTCTGCACCTTTCTGCATCAGTCTCAAAGGTAGCCCCACGTAGAGCGCATATGTACCAAAGATGTCCAGAAGAAGTTGTCATCGGAAATAACTGGCACTGCGTTTACTGTCTGTTTCTTCCTCCTCAGGCTGCAGTGGAAGCGGGCTTACCTGAAGGCCAAGCCCAAAAGCTTCTGGAAATGAGTACTTCACCTGATGTGAAGGATCGCTTGAAAGCAGCAACAGAAGAAGTATTAAAATATGGGGTGAGCCAGCAAGGAGAGAGTGAAGGGGGCTCTTTGCCAAAAGGGCAGGGTGGGGAATTAAGAGGTACAACAGTCAGGAAGTGCAAATGCTCTGGTGAGCCACCAGATTGACCCGTGAGGTCGCCCTGGGGCCCTGTACCAGGCTGTCATCCCTGGCAAGCTGAGCCTTCTCATTTGTGCTTTACTTGCACTGCTCTTGATCCGTTATGACACATTTCTTCACTGCCAGCATGAGACTTACTTCAAGATGAGGAAAAGATGTCCTTGGGAAACGAGTTGGCAAAGGTCTGGCCAATCTATTCTTTTGTTTCCTTTCGTATCGTAGAGCTTGTTCTCACGTACATGTTTGTGCGTCTCTGTGGCACCGTGTGATAATTCGGCACTCAGTGGCTTTTGGCTGAATCTGGGAACTACTGAAAATTACCGTGTTTGAACTAATATGGAATGGCATGCAAATTCTGTCTGCAGTGGCGTATTGGGTGCATGGAATCCTTTGTTGCCGTAACCCATGGTACTGACCACGCCCGCATTTGTTGTTGGCCCATAACTTAGAAAAATAGGAAACAAGTGTTTGTGTAGCATCCACAGAAAACCTGCTTTGCTTTCCTCCCTTTCCCCTGAAAAAGTGTTTTGAAGGTAAGAACCAGACAAGGAGATGGGCTGCACTACCATCTGCTGTGACAGACAGCTAACCACTAGCCGCCCGTTTTCTTTTGGATGTGTGGGTGTGAGCCAAGAAGATTTGCTGCCAACCCGGGCTGTGTTTGGTCTTTCCCTCAGCCTAGGCAAACAAGACCTCCAGGCACCATCAGAGGATGCTTTCAAGCATCCTAACAGAGATGCTATGAAAGTGCAAGAGGTTTGTTTTCCTTCCCATTATTTTTTCAGGGACTATGTACCAAATTTAACTTTCCAAAAACCTACATTGTGCCTTTTTAGAAAAGATCGGTGCACGTTAAATGTGCAGCCACCACAGCTGGGAGCCAGTTTGCACCTTTGAACTCTGCACATTCCTGTCTGCTACATCGAACTGGACACCAGAAGCCCATTTCCCTTTCTTATCTCTTCCCCTTCAGGCATTTGGGTTGCCATGTTCGGTGATCTATGTTGACGACAAGCCCCAGCTTCTCTTTGGTTCCGATCGCTTAGAACTGCTGGCACACCTCTTGGGTGAGTGTTCTTAATCAAGAGACTTTTCAAGTTTATGGTTGGACGAATCAGTCTGAAGGAAAGTTTTGAACACTTGCAAATACCTTAAGAAACAACTGAATTTCTCTCATTTGGTTTAAGAGAGAAATACGTTTCCTGCTGTTCCTGCCCAGTCTAGGCAGGGTGTGCATTGTTTTAAATGTCCTCTCATCCAGGAATTCATCTAGGCTCTCTTGAATTTGACTGGATTATCCATGGCTTTTGCCACCAGTTAATTAAGCATCTACTTTTGCTATATGCTGCAATGCTTCTGAACACCTTAGAGGAAATTTCCCAGGATACAGTGTTGGAAGAGTCCGAATAAGAAACAAAAGCACGAAAACCTCTGTCCGCTCAAGGTTCTGAATTTTGCTTAATACAGACATTAAATTAAAAAGGGTATTGTTTGCCTAGTTGATCTGTCGATCTTGAGGAAGGTTCATACCTATTGCTAAGGTTGTAACTGGGGATCAATAAGGATAATGGGCAGTAGTGAACTACAGCATCAGAGACCTGGGTTTGAATCCTCACTTGACCATGGAAACTCAACTCTTGGTTGTAAAGGTGAAACCATTCATTAAATATCTCGCATATCTTAAACCTTATTAAAACCTTATTAGGGTTGAGGTAAGTCGACTGAGACTTGACAGCATGTAACAAACAACAAAGAACGCATTCTGCTTTGGTATTAAGTTGCTTAGTTTTCCGTTTAAGTTCATCTGTGTTTTAAGCTCTTGTTTGTGAAGGTTGCTTCTGTGTCACCTGACTCTAATTTGCTGTCTGGTTTGTTTTGCAGGGGAGAAGTGGCAGGGACCCGTCCCTGCGTCCCCTAAGTTCTAAGCTTTACGAGCAGTGGGACATAAAAGCATCAACAGGAGACTTAGGGAGTGTCTGCCTTGTCAGCTTCCACATGGTCAATACAGGAGCCATAATGAGCAAATTGCATTTCTTCACTCTGGAACAGGGACACGCGAGGCAGCTTAGCTTCTGCTACTGCAGTCATCACACCTGTCTACAGTGCAATTTATATCCAATAACGATGCTCAAATTTCTGCTTGACCAGTGGCACCATGTACTATGCTATGGTGTGGGAGGGTGTCAAGTCAAACCTCTGGATGTACCTTAATATAGACATTAATGGGGATTTTTCACTTTTATGCTACAGTACAGATGTTATGGGTTACTGTGATTGCTCTGTGTGACGTTACTTGTGGTGGAGCCATAGGAACAGGAACGTAAGGTGTGAATTAGCCATTTCTTTCTCTGAAAGAAATCCTTTTTACTTGACTGTGGTGAGATATAGGACTCCAAGGATTACCCACTCAAAAGGCAATGTGCACATAATTCCATTTTTTCTTCAAAAAAAGAAGAGGCGAAAGCAGTGGGAAAAGGGGATGGTTACAAAGACACACATCCAGTCACAGTTCCCGGATGAGATCCTTATGGTTGTTGTGGGTTTTTCGGGCTCTTTGGCCATGTTCTGAAGGTTGTTCTTCCTAACCTTTCGCCAGTCTCTGTGGCCAGCATCTTCAGAGGACAGCACTCTATGCTCTGGTGTAGTTTGTTTGGGAGTTGAGTATTTATGGCTGGGAGATCAGCTTTTGTACTTTTCAGGATAAGGGTGATTAGTGTGTTTTGTTGTGGGTGTATTGTTGTGATAAGGAGAGATTATCTGTCACTGTGATTGATGGGTATCATTAGCTGGTATTTTGTGTGCAGTGATCTCCGGTCCTTGTGGCTGGGTAGAGTTCGTTGACCTTTTGCACTCTATTTTTGAGAGCCGGGAGCCAAGTTTAATTGAGTTTCAAACTTTCCTCTTTTTTGTTGAAGTTCTGTTGGTGCTTGTGTATTTCAATGGCTTCCCTGTGCAGTCTAACGTAATGATTGCTGTTATTGTCCAGTATTTCAGTATTTTGGAATAGAATTTTCTGTCCGGCTTGTTTTAGGGCATGTTCAGCTACTTCAACAGTGGGAACATAATGTGTCTGCAGGTGTGAAGGAGTGGGAGAGGCACGTTGGTTCCCTATACGACTTCCTAAATATATACAGTATGTCCAACACATGCATGAAGCCAGTGAGCCCTGGTGCCATTCAGAGAGGGTTGGAGTTGTGTACCCAGTCATTGTGACCACCCCGTAACAATAAACGACACACACATTCACTCCACCAGCCATTCACACACACGCCCAGGCTTCCATCCACCGATATCCACCAAGCTCCCGCCAGCTGGTTTCAGGAGGCTAATGTCCACCGGCTTCATCTGCCAACCTCTGCCAGCCTCCGTCTTGCAACATCAGCCAGCTTCTGCAGGGAGATGCCACCAGCTTCTGTCTGCCAAAATCCACCGACTTCCCCCTCCCGGTCCATGGCCAACATCAGCCAGCTTCAAGCCACAGATCTCTGCCAGCCTTGAGCTGTTAACTGACAAGCCCACTTAGCAAGTTCAGAACTTGCCTTGGGCAGAAGGGCTGGGTCCCCTGCAGCCGCTACTGCCGCTCTCTCTGCCGGGCTGCCCTCTGGCCACTGGCCTCCCCTCTGGTCTCCTGCCCTGCCCAGCAAGCCCTTTTTATCTGCCAGCAGAGAGGTGGGGCCCCGGTGAGGTGACAAAGAATGGGGTTGGGTTCCCAAGGCAGCAGCACCCTCAGGATTGGCTGTCCTGAAGATAATGTCAACAATCCCTCTTATGTGATTTACCCACAGAAGCATGCATTTTATATGATTTTAAATATATATTATTATTAGTGGCCTATAAATGGATCACCTGTCACCAATCCCTCTGATTGTTAAATCTCCCCATGTTGACCTTCTGACAGGATTCTAGGCTGGTGCTCCAAAAAGCTATCTTCCAGCATCTGCACAAAAAAGTAACTTTCCTAAGCTCTGAGCTTGGGAAATAATGAAAATAATAATTGAATAACGATGGGCACAGTAACACAATGCAGCTTTTGACCCTTTTGGGGTCTCTCTCTTTCTCTCTCTCTCTGCCTCTGCCTCTTTTTGGACATTTTTTTCTTGTCCTTGCCATGAAAAAGATAGCATAAGGAATCAATTAAAAAAGACCTAAGTGTTTGAAACACATACCAGTATTTTAACACCATTCCTGCACTATCAAACATGCAGCTGTGTTTCAAAATGCCCCCAGCCTTGCTCCATCTTTGCTGTCCTTTCATAAGCAGGCAAAGACCTTCTTCTTCAGACAAGCTTTCCCTTATTGACTGGCTGCCTAGATTGGGATTTTGAACCTACTCACAGAAGTAGGAGAATACACTATAAGGAGCTGAAATTCCCAAAGCCTCCCAATATAATAATAATATAGGTATATTCAGAGTTAACACCTATGGAGTAAAACATTAATGATGTTGTACTCCCTGTCACGTCAAAAGATGATGCACGTGATTGTGGAATTCATAGAATCATAAAATAATTGAGTTGGAAGGAGTGTATAAGGCCATGGGCTCAATGATGTAATCCAAATCAAAGTAGATCTGACGCATGTCCAATTTTCTCTTGAATACCTCCAATATGGGAGCACTCACCACCTGTCAAGGTAATTGGTTCCACTGTTGTACTGCTCTAACAGTTAAGAATCTGACTTCCTGTAGTTTGAGCCTATGATTACATGTCCTGCACTCTGGGAAGAATAGATCATGCCTTTCCTCTGCATGACTGATTTTCAAGTACAGTGGTGCCTCGCTTAACGAGCGCCTCGCTGAGCGATGAGATCACTTAACGAGGCGCTCTGGGCCATCGCTGGAGCATTCGCTCAGCGATGGCCCCTATGGGGATTTTTCACTTTGCGATATTCGCTAAGCATTTCGCTTAGCGAATATCGCATAACGATGCCGGGAGAACAGCTGATCGGTGATTCCAAAATGGCCGCCGGAAGGTCCGCGCCGCATTTTCGCGCCCTGCCCTCGCTTACCGAGGGTGCGAAAATGGCGGCGCTATGGGACAACATCGCTTAACGGTGAGTTTTAAAGCCATAGGAACGCATTGAACGAAGTTCAATGCGTTTCTATGGCTTTTTTATTCCCATTTAGCGATGTTTTCACATAGCGAAGGTTAATCCGGAACGGATTAACCTCGCTATGCGAGGCACCACTGTATTTGAAAAGTTCTATCACATCTTCCCTCTCTCCCCCTTTCTCAAGGCTAAACATGTTCAGCTTCTTCAGTATTTCCTCATAGGGATTCATTTCCAGTCACCTGATCATCCTCAGGGGAGTAGAAACCATCACCCTGGACATGACTACAACAGAACTCTTCAAAATGTTGAAAGAGAGAAAATGCCTAGCATTGTGGGAGATAATTGAATAAGGATAGGCACAGTAACACAATGCAGCCTTTGATCCTTTTGGGTCTCTCTCTCTCTCTCTCTCTCTCTCTCTCTCTCTCTGTGTGTGTGTGTGTGTGTGTGTGTGTGTGTCTTTGTGTGTGTGTCTTTTTGGACATCTTTTTTTGTCCTTGCCATGAAAAAGATAGCATAAGGAACCAATTAAAAAAAAGACCTAAGTGTTTGAAACACATACCAATATTTTAACACCATCCCTGCACTATCATTCAGCTGTGTTTCAAAATGCCCCCAGCCTATGGAACTCCCTCCCACTGGAAGCCAGACTTGCCCCATCTTTGCTGTCCTTCCATAAGCAGGCAAAGACCTTCTTCAGGCAAGCTTCACCTTATTGACTGGCTGCCTGGGTTGGGATTTTGAATGGACCAATGGGCATGTGACTTATTGCTTTGAATGTGTTTTTGGTATTGATTTTGTTTACTGTTTTTAGTGGGGTATTTGTTCCTGCAAACTCCTTTTTCCAGCAGCTTTTAAAGTGTGGCTGTCAGGGACTGAAACTGCAACTTCCTGCATGCCGGACTTGTTGCCAGCCTCTGAACCGAGTTGCTCCTGTCACGTTCTCCATTGCTGATGCCATCATTGGCCTTAGGTGGCATTAGCTTATGGATTCCAGGCAATAAATTTAACTATTATTGGTGCTTGCATGCTGGTGTTTGCATAAGGTTTGAGTAACTTGCCCTGGCTAATTGAAAGGTGTCAAGGAGTGTCTGGGTCACATGCCTGGTCATGTGCCTGATTCGTTTAACCAGAATGTACCCCAGCACTTCTTCAATCAGCTGCAGGTAGCCATCGCAAGTTACTAAAATCTTATGTAAGTGGCAATAGGATTTCAATTAAAATGTCTTTAAATAAAAAGTACTTCCTTTCTGTGTATTCTCGAAGGCTATCAGGTCCAGGATCTGATGGGTGTTGTGGGTTTTTCGGTCTCTTTGGCCATGTTCTGAAAGTTGTTCTTCCTGACATTTCACCAGTAGGATCTCCAGTCCTCTGAAGATGCCGGCCACAGAGACTGGCGAAACATTAGGAAGAACAACCTTCAGAACACAGCCAAAGAGACCGAAAAACCCACAACAGCAATAATCAAACTCTCCTCCAGAACATCAGGATGGAGGCTGCTTCTTTTCTGTAAGTGATTACTTTCCTCCAGCGTCTCTTCATCTGTTCCAACATTTAATAGTATAATAATGTTATACTTATCTCATGCATATGTTCTAAGAAATATCACTCTGAAAATCTGAAGTATGTTTTCTAGGATTCCAACTCTGTTCTCAAGATATGGGCCAAATTTGTATAAAATTATTATAAAATTCAGCGTAATATTTTTACACAGTAATGTTTCTCCTTTCGGAAGAACTCTATACTGTAGGAATGTGCCATTCATTTCTTGACTTAATGTTTTGGGATTGTTGTTGGGATTGTTTGTTTGTTTGTTTGTTTGCTTACTTTTTATTCCAAACCATAGAATACTCTAATAATTCCCCAGGAACAATCCTGGGAGTTCCAGCTGACAAACACACACCTCTGTATTCCAGCAGAGTTTAGAAATGCTTAGGTCTTTCAGGCTAGCATTGATTCCCCTGTAAGATTAAAAACCACACGGAGTTCTGTGACACC